CTCGTATAATCACCTAAGATGGAGATTTGAGCGTTACCTATGGTTCTTATTTCCAAATTTTTTGGGTTTTGTGGGCCTTTTGAAACGAAAGATGGTATATATTGTGTAGTAATCATCATCTTCTGTAAACCTTTAGGTGATTTGATTTGATATGTTGGAGTTAAATCGATGGTTTAAGTTTTTGATATATAGTACTCACATTTGGTTAGAGCTCAGCTTTCTAATGTTTTTTGTTTCTACACCGATTTGTTTAATGTTAGAGAAACTACAAAGTAACATTAGTAACAGTATTAATGCTGTTGTTATATGTATGTACCTTTAAATCGTGGCTAATTTTAATTTCATAAATATATAAGTAACTTACTAACTCAACTAGATTTTAAATAATAACTTTTCATAATACATTGCTTTTGACTTTAAAATTTGTTTTATGAATTATAACTCTAATTAGTTTGTGATTTAATTAATTGTATTGATCTGTTATAGACTATTTATTTATATAAAAATAGTAAATAAATATCTGAAATGGAAAATCACCAAATTGTGTCGGTATTTTATATATATAAAAAAGATTTTGTATAAAATTTCCCGTAATATATGTAAATAGATATACACTATTTTTTGGTGAATAAATTTATTATAGCAAGGAAATAAATCAACTTGCATAATGCTATACACGCCCTTCTTTATTAATGGACTCTAAGTCTCTAATCAAAACATATGGCAATTACATTATTGATTGTCCTATTTTACATATCATATACTTTTATCAAAATCAAATTAAAACCATATAATATAATTGATACCTTCTCTTTTGTCGGAATTTAAAATGAATATTTTATATCTTTAAAGATCTAATTTCTGGATGAAAAACTTTGGTTTTCAGCGCCTACAAAGTGCAAAGGTCGACAACCAAAATTAAACAGAGCAAAAAAAAAAAAAAAAAAACAGAAACAAAAAAAGTTCTCTCTCTCTCTCTCCATTGATTTCTTCTACACAGACATCTCTACGAACCCCCAAACTCATATCTCTCTCTCTGTCTCTCTTTGCTCTTCATCGGATCTGACTTCTTCCCGAAAACCCACAATCTGATTCTTCGAATTCTTCAATTCAACGACAAAACCCCCAAATCACAAATTCCCCAACCAAAAGTTTCAATCTTTTGACTTTGAGACACACAAAAATTTAAAGTCTGCGTTTTTTTGGGGACTTTTGCTTCTGTTTGATCAAATTCACCGGCGAAGGAATTTTCCGATGGGAATGCCTTCGCTGGCTTCATTGCTACGACCATGAGCTACCACAACGAGGAAGAAGAGGAAGGAGACACCAACGATTGCTTCTACGAGTCTCTTGATCGTTTAGCTTCTTCCTCTTCTTGCTCTTGTTCCGCTTCTAACTCTGATTACGATTCCGAATCCTCTCCTCGGATCTCCTCCGCCGCTTCTCATGACTCTGAAGAACACAACGGTGGGGGTCGCCGCCGTCGATATCCATTCCCAGTTCCTCGGTTTCCAATGGGAGCCTCGAAGTTCGACGTTTGGATCTCTGAACCTGCTTCTGTCTCCGAGAGACGTTCCAAGCTTTTAAACGAAATGGGTCTTAGCCGTGACCCGGTTCTCTCCCGGTTAAAACCCGTTTCGGATTCCAGCTTCAAAGAAACCGGAGCCGGCAGCTCCGACATTTCCCGATCGATCTCGTGTAATCAATTGGCTCGGCGAGATCATGGAGAGTGTTTTGAAACTGTCGGCGGTTGTGCTTCTTGCATCGTGAGATCGAAATCCGACATTACCACTAGCCAATGTGGTGATCGTGAACGTCGATATACGTCTCTTGGTAATTCTTGTTCTTGTTCAGTCTCTAAACTCTCTGTTCGTCATCCTTCACATTCAGAGATCAGTAGAACCAGCCCACCATTTGTCAATTGCAGTTTGGGATCAGTTAGTGCTGATTCGTGTGAGAATTCATTGCGGTTAAATGGAGATACTGACTGTGTACTGAGCGAGAGTGTAGTGAATGAGGAAGTGGAAGTGTGTAC